TAAAAAAAAAAAAATAAAATCTTTGGAGTCGTCCTCTTGGTTTCAGTTTAAATAACCCTCTTATAAAACAGTTTCATCTCAGTGGCTGGGTTTCTGATCATGTGTGACTCCAGAGGTTCAAAGTGCTGGGCCTTGGGACCCAGAACCGTGCTGCTGTTTAATTGTTGCTACCTAACAAGGGACTGATGCACCCCTGGGGTGACAGGTGGGTACAGTTAATGGCTTGACAGGATGGCAAGCCAGCAGGAAGGTGGCAGTCAGAGGCCAGGATTAGGAACCTTTGACACCGTCTGTACTCTGTTGAAAAGACATTCACATTAGCTGCAGGTGATTTTTTGACAGACTATTCTCTCAGGTAGCGGCAGATTTATGCTCCACATGATTGTGTGATTCTGGGTAGGAACTGGCTGTTATAGTAGTACAATCATACATCATTTCCCACGTGTGATCTAAAACACGATCGGTCAAAGGCATGCAACATTACATAAAATAATATAACTAATCATTTCATTACTGATTATTCTACCAACTATTTTCATGAAAAAAAAAGCGAGAGTCCAAGCTGATATCTTCAAATGTCATGTTTTTTTCCAAACACTAAAGCTAACTAAAGGTAATCCATGACACAGGACCAGTGTGTAGGATTTTGTAGCATCTAGCAGTAAATGTCAGTTTGCATCTCACTGAGCACCACTTGCATCTGTATTTGATGACCTGGGAATGAGAAGGGGCTGTGACGTGTGTCGCAGAAACGACGATGGGCGCAAAACTAAGAGTTGGGTTTGTCTGTTCCGTGGAAACTTGGTTGACTGCATGGAAGGCGACCTGCAGCACCTGTAGATAAAAAAAAACGTACTATGTTCAGGTATATCATAGATCTTACACATGTTACACACTGGAGCTTTTTAATTGAAAAAAATGACTCTTAACAACTATATAAATTGACAAATCTCTAAACTGATGTTCAAAGCAATAAACTGTGCTCCACTGTAATGTGTGCTATTATGACCAAACCCAGCGTGAATTAAAAGTTGTATTAACAGAATTAGATTTTAATCACAGCTTGCTCTGAGTCATGAGTTTAGACAGAATGACCAATCTTCTCTCAAGTTATTGGTTGGTTAATCTTGTCTTATTTATAATACTAGAAAAACCATAATTTTACTGGAAAATGTTATGAAATGTACAGTTGTCAGTTGTTACTCCTACCTGGCCATGAGAAGATTTGTCAGCTAAAGGTGGAAAGCCAACGATTTAATTGAAATTAATAGGCTGCACAAAAATCATCAAGGTTTAAATAATTCAAACGACGGCAAACGTATATCAAGTGCACACTATGTTGTAAAATGGACAGGATGTTTTCATCATTTGGTTGCAGGGAATATGTGCATTTAGTGGACTAATCAGCTGCTGCCTGTAAGAGGGCCAGGATGGGACAGATGCTCCTTCGACACAGACCATATCTTTGGCGACTGCACTTTTAGAGGGACGCTTAACATAATACAGTGTACTATAATGAGGCCTGTGCATAAATGATTTCACATCTGGGGCTTTGTTTGTTGGTCAGTAGTGGGCTGATGTTCCATTGGTGGGGGCTGCTGATTTCTGAGTCCAACCAAACACAAATGATCTCCAGTAACTTTGAGTCTGTTCTGGTCCTGACACCAATAATGACCTGCACATATTTGTTAGATTTGAAAAGCAAATTTCTCCCCATCCATAAACCAGCCCCACAAGGCTTTGGGCTTGACTCGCAGACACCTTAGTGAGTTTTCACACCTTTGTTGCGTCCAGGTCATGATGTATTGCCTCACTGTCTCATGGGCACTGATCGCCTGTGCAAGTCTCCCCTATCTGCCCCTCTGAAAAGAATGCCATGGTAATCCATCTCTCTGGAACAGGAAGAAGGCTCTGGGAGGGGGTGAGGGGTGGGAGAGTCACAGCCAGGGTTGATCCACACCCAGGGTTGATCCTGTCCGGACCAAGAAGGGGACTACTTTTATAAGCATGTGGCCCGACTTATCCAAATCCAGGGTTCAATGAAAATGCCCTTTGTAAACTAAAAGCAGGACGTTTATATTTAATATATAAGAAATATATATTTCAAAACCTGAACTGCGAATCTTATCAGAGCTTAATTACTTATTCCATTTAGGCTACTCATTATTTGGGAATTGATATGATGGTGCTGGTGGTCCACCCTTTAGTCACTCATGTCACATTACTGGTCTTACGGGGCTTTCCTTAAAGAGTGCAACGATGGTGCTAAACCATCATTTTCTACTGCTGTACCACCCATTTTCAAAATGGTGGTTCAAAATACTTTTGGTACAACAGTTAGACTCCATAATAAGCCCCGAGCTTCTAGGGAGACCTCTGCATGCAAGCAGAGACTGGCTGCATTATGGCTGAACTTGGTCTGTGTTTTAGCTTCGTGCAGCATACATTTGAAGAAATGTTTCCGTATTACTGATGTGACAGTATATTAACAGCACCATCTGACAAATCTGCAATGAATGTCTTGCTCAGCTGTGAGTTTTTTCTTTTTTTAAAAGAAAGGGTTCTGCTTTGCTTTGATCTTTCATTGGATGCAGGCTGTCAGTGAAGTGGTGTTGTCTGCGGCATTAGGTTCCTTTTTATATGCATTTTTTATGCATTTTTTATGCATTTCCTCTTGGACGGTGGTACTGCACACACAGCAGGAGTAGGATTCCTTGTAATGCTCATTTTCATTTTATTTCCATCAAAATGGATGATTTCAAAGCCTTTATGTAAAATCTGTTATGTAATACAAATCATGTAAAGTATCTGTTGTGGTCTTGTAAGGCTCGGGCTTTCCTGGCGCAGAAGGCGGGGTTGGATCCCCACGTATATAAATGAAAGGGTGACACGCCGAAATCTTTTTAGGAATCCGTTGGCTACTAAAGTAAAGAACTATCAGCTGTTGTAGTAGCTTTGTATGTCTGAGGGGCTGTGTGACCCCAACGCATGAACACATTTGGATTAGAACAGTGAACAGCATTTATTTATTATTTTTTATTTTTTTACCCTCTAGCCTTCAGGTGTAGGGTTTAACAGATGCCAAAGAATCAGGAATAGTTTATTTATCCATGAAATGAACCAGGACTTTTACTGATCAAGTGTTTTTGGCCTCAGTGCAAGTCCTTTTATCTGATGCTTTTATTTACCTATATGTAAATTAAATATGTATCTGAACATTGAAAAAGCAGCTGTCGCCCACTAATCTTTTTATTTTTTTTAATTATTTTTTTTAAACAAGCTACTGGAGGTCTTTAATTATTGATATAAATGAAAGTTTAACTGGAGACTGAAAAATGTTGTAATCTGGTGGAGAGAAATACCACTGAAGATGTTAGAACTAAAGCAACACTCTTTGTCACTGTGATTGTGAGTGGTGTTACAGAATGGAAGTTAACATTAAGCAGATATGGCCTACCGCCACAGTGAGCAACATTGAGTGTTGAAGCCGTTACCAGAATGTTTTGTACACTGAGCTTTTGATCATGATAAATAGCATCAGAGCTTGGCAGATCTGTGTACTGTGCCAACCCAGGTGTCAGAACAGAGTCTCTCACCGGTGCGACCGAATGTTTCACTCATTTTCACTCGTATGCAGTGAAATCCTTGCAGTGTAGAGCCTGGCTGCTGTTGTAGTCAAGAGTAGCACTGTCAACACCAGCAAGCTGTGGTGGACAAACGCAGAGTAGAGTAAAGACACAATCTATAGAATTGCCGTGGGACATCTCTAAAAAATAAAACTCTGGGGGGAAAAACAACGATGATGTAACATAATCTACAGAGCTCTTTGTAGTAGCTTGGTTGTTTATGTATTGTATTCTATGGCTGTTATCTGTCATTCATTATGTGTTGCTAACTTTAACATCACCCCTGTAGTACTGTAAGCATCTTAAAATTGGCGTCTGGAGTTATTTGCGTATGCTTTTTGACCCAGATCTGGGCACAGTTGAATGTTAGTCCAAATTAGTTTGTGTGGTCCAGTATTTCTAAACTAATTACTTTCTCTTCTCTCTCTCTCTTTAGCATCACTTGAGACTCAGCTAAGATGGCAGACATCGACAAGTAAGTACATCTTCTACCAGTGCTGCCCTGTGTCAAACACTTGGCCTCTCCACCACCTGTCTCCTTATTTGGTCTAATGCTTGTGGTGCCTGAAGTTATCTTTGATGCCTAGAAGTAAATAATGACATCACTGACTTGGGCGTGGTTCGACAGAGGGCAGTGCAGCAGGCTCTCCCTCAGTGTGCCCCAGTGGAAACAGTAGTATGTTAAGGATGCAGCTGCTGCCTGGGCTCAGGTTGCATTGTCAGTGTCACACTAAACACACACATACAAGACACGTCTCAAAATCCAAGTGACGTACCTAAACATCGGTCAAACAGTGATGCTCCAGTGGTTGTCACACAACACAGGTATGGATGCCGTCTCCCTCACACATACTCCTCCACTGTTGGCCATTGATTTTCACCTTGTGCTGCTGGCTGACAGGAGGATGATAGGCCAAGCTGTGTTGTGTTCACTATTAAGCTAGGGCTGGGCGATATGGCTTAAAAATAAAATCTCCGATTTTTTCACACCAAACCCAATTCATGATTTTAATCGATTCTTTTGTAGACTGTTTTTTAGTGGGTGT